GAATTCATGTGTTGAACTCTGCAAACGTTGTTATGTATATATTTGTTGGTTGTTTGCCTTTGCGCTTTTGATGAGTTTGTTTTGACTTCTGATTTCGCGTTTACGCCTTAGGCTTGATTTTTTCCTGTTTGTGCGACTTGGAAAGCACGTTCATCGTTTGCTGTGTATTTTTGTACTTTGCGCTTAGACCCGATTTAGGGCAAAGTGATTTGTCCCAAGGTTCAAATCCGACCTTGGGAGAAATTGAGATATTTCGCAGTGAGGTTCAAACTTGACCTTGAATGGTTCATACCGAGGTTCGAACTCGACCTTGAGTTGAGTATACCAAGCTTCGAACTCAACCTTGAGTTGATTATACCAAGGTTCAAACTCGACCTTGAGTGGATTATACCGAGGTTCGAACTCGACCTTGGATTGATTATGCCAAGGTTTGAACTCGACCTTGAATGGATTTTACCGAGGTTCGAACTCGACCTTGAGCTGAAGTAGAATGAATTGTATGGAGGTTCCTAGATAGGTTCTTCACCTACATTCAAAATGAAACCAACCCAAAGAGCAAGAGTCCAAGAAATAAAAACTGAAAAATCACAATTAGGAAAGGCTAAACTCAGAGAGAATTGATTGAGACAAAACAAAGAGGCCAAAGAAAAGACAAACTAAAAAATTAAGACACAATTAAAAAGGAAGCACACAAAAGAGTATTCCTAGAATGGCACTAGAATGGATTAGTGTTTCGTCCACTTGCTTAAGTCTTTTATATGATTCGGTCCAGCCACTCTTAAGGTCTCAAAATAGGTTCAAAATGTCACAAGTCCAACTCCCAAATGCATTGGTAAAGGTCCAAGTCCACAAGTCTAGCAACAAGTCCTTTTTGGTCAATTTTTTTTTGTTCTTTTTTTTCTTCCTTTTCTTTCACGTCAATTTTTTTTTTTTTTTTTTTTTTTTTTTTTACAATGTTACACATTGACTAGATGTGATGTATATAATTGATGTATGGTGAGATGTGGATGTTGAGAATGCAGTATAACATTAAAGTATGTTGGATAACTTGTAATATTAATCATTTAGTTTTTAAATTCAAATTTGAATTGATCAACACATAACTTGTAATATTAATCTATAGTGATACCAATTGTTGTGGTTCGGGGGTTACTACACACGTATACATGGCTCCACATTGGTAAGATATTGTCTGTTTTGGGCCTAAGTCCTCGTGATTTTGCTTTTGAATACCACTTAAAAGGTCTCTTTACCAATGGAGACAATTGTGTATATATAAACTCATGTCCATCCTATTGTTTGAATGATGTGAGACTTTGCTTGCATCCCAACAAGTTATTGGGAAAGATAACCAGAATAATAACAATTAAGTGAAATCCAAACTGAATCTCTTTTTTTCCTGTATAAATAATAATAGGCTCAAACACTTCTTCTCCAAAGTTGGTTGCTCCACTCCTTCTCATAGAATTTTTCTTCTTCTTTTTGTATCACAAAGAGGCATGACGCACGCAGACGCACAAGTCTCTGATTTATCCTTCTTCTGAAAGGTTGATCTCACATACCAAGAGTCACAACACATGATGCTAATACATTAGCATATTGGGCTTTTTTTTTTTTTTTTTAATTTTTAAATCAATGTGAGCTCAAATAAATTGGTGACCCACTTGACAAATCTCCCCCTCACCAATTAATTGGTTTCATAGTCAACCAAACCCACCTTCTCTTTGCAAACAACAAACTTTCCTATAAGTAAGGTCTTTGACATCATATTTTAGCCATTTTCTTCAATTTGCAGACAAGCTTCTCTTTTCCTTTAACAGCAAAACCTTCAAGTTACTCCATATAAATTTCTTCCTACAAGTCACCATGGAGGAAAACAGTCTTCACATCAAGTTATTCAACCTCCAAGTTTAAATTAGCTGTTAGGCCAAGCACAATTCTAATTGAAGACATCTTGACCACGGGTAAAAATATTTCTTCAAAATCAACTCCTTTTTTGTGACTGAAACCTTTGACAACCAACCTTGCTTTGTACCTTGGTTGTGAGCAATTATCCTCTAATTTCAACTTGAACACCCACTTATTTTTTAGTGCTCTCTTGCCTTGGGGCAACTTCACCAACTCAAATGTGTGATTCTCATGTAAGGATTTCATCTCCTCTTGCATGACTATATACCATTTATCCTTATCTTCATGTGACATAGCTTTTTCATAGCTCTCTGGCTCTCCACCATCAGTTAACAACACATACTCATGAGGGGAATATTTTTGTGAAGGATGAGACTCTCTAGTAGATCTTCTCAACTGTGGCACTATAGGTGGTGTAAGAGTAACAAGCTCTACTTATTCATTAATTTGTGACTTTGGCACATTAACTATATTCTCCACATTTTCATTCACATCTCCTCCATTATTAGTGGCTCTGGTAGGAGGTTCTAGCTCAACATTAATGTCCTCGCAAATAATCTGTTTTGGCTTCTCCTTCTTGTTAATATCTTCTATGGTTTGGTCTTCAAGAAAAATAACATCTTGGCTTTTGACAATCTTCTTATCAACCAGATCCCAAAACCTGTAACCAAAATCATCCATAACCCAAGAAAACACATTGTTTAGAATTACTATCAAGCTTGGTTCTTTCATCTCTAGGGATATGAACAAATGCCTTGTAGCTAAACACCCTCAAGTGACTATAGGAGACATCTTTCCCTCTCCACACCCTCTTTGGAACATCATTATCAAGAGGAATGGAGGGAGAAAGGTTGATCAAGTCTACTACAGTTCTCAAAGCTTCACCCCAAAAGGCTTTAGGTAATTTGGCATGAGAGAGCATGCATTTGATTTTATCATTAATTGTGCGGTTCATTCTCTTTGCAACCCTATTGTGTTGAGGGGTCTTTGGAACTGTCTTCTCAAGCTTGATGCCATGGTCCCTGCAATAGTGCTCAAATGGGCCTTGTATTCACCACCATTATCTGCTCTAACACACTTCAACAATTTGCCTGTTTCTCTTTCAACACTTGCATGAAAGTGTTTGAACACATCAAGTACCTAACCTTTGGATTTCTTCTAGAATGATCATCAATAAAAGTGACAAAATAAGTGTAACCACTAAGGGTTTTAGCATCCATAGTGCAAACATCAGTGTGAACTAAATCCGATATATGTGGCCTTCTACGTGGAGCATAAGTGCGAAAAGAAATTCTGTGTTGCTTACCAACAAGGCAATCAGAACAAGTTTTAAGAGATGTACCTTCAATTGGAAGCAACCCTTGTCTTGCAAGAGTATCAAGACCCTTCTCACTCAAGTGACCAAGACGTTTATGCCATAAATTTGTGGAGCAATCCTCAATTGCATTCACTTGAGGTGTAGACAGTTTAGCTGATGTCTAATAAAGAGTATTCTGCTTCTCTCCCTTTACTATCACCAAAGTCCCTCTGGTGCACTTCCATTTTCCATTACCAAAATAATTATGGTAACCATCTTCATCAAGTTCTTGTACTGAGATCAAGTTGAGGCGCATGTCAAGGATGTGCTTGATGTTCTTCAAGTGTAACTTGCATCTGATATTAGTCTCCAACCAGACTTCTCCAATGCCAGCAACCTTGCTTACCTCTTGATTTCCCATCTTCACTTGCCCAAAATCCTCGGCAGTGTAGGATGTAAGGTACTCACAGTGTGGTGTAACATGAAATGAGGCAGCAGAATCAATAACCCATTCATACTCTTGTAATGCAAGATTAATAGAATTATCATCATAAACAATGACAACATCACTATCAGATACAACTGCAGTAGTGTCTTTGTCTTTATCTTCTCTTTTATCATTGCCTCTACCCCTTGATTTATCTTGCTTAAGGAAACTACACTATTTCATTAAGTGTCCCATTTTATTACAATGGAAACACTTAATATCTTTCCTTGTCATTGATCTTCCTCTTGACTTGCTACGATCATCATATTTATGAGAGTTTCTTTGATGGCTTCTCCCTCTTGATTCCATAAACAAAGCTTCATTATGAGTTGAAGAACTAGCCATTCCTTGTCCCTTTCTCCTAATTTCTTCATTCAAGAGACTATCTTTTACCATATTAAAAGTCAGCTTCCCATTAGGAGTAGAGTTACTCAGAGATACCACCAATGTCTCCCAACTGTCTAGTAATGATCCAAGCAACAACAATGCCAATAGCTCATCATCTAATACAATCTCCATAGTATTCAACTGATTCACCAAATTCTAAAAATTGCTTAAGTGCTATGCCACTAAAGAACCATCCTTGTATTTTAAGTTTACTAACTTTCGAATGAGGATGTTTTGTGCATTTTTTGACTCAAATAGCTCACTCAAGGGCTTCCATAAGTAGAAAGCATTAGTCTCCCTTGACACATGTTGATAAATGCTTTGATCTATCCATTGTCTGATCATGCCAATAGTCTTCCTATTGGCCTTCTTCCAATCTTCTTCAGATTTATGTGTTAGTTTGGTGCCATTAGCCTCAATGAGGTCATACAAGTCTCTACAAAATAACAAATCTTCCATTCGAGACTTCCATTTAGAGTAATTGGTGAAATCCAATTTAATCATTGTACCAACATTATTGCCTTCACCCATCTTTAGAAAAGAAACCAAAGCCCCCAACCGGAGCTCTCATACCAGTTGTTGGGAAAGATAACCAGAATAATAACAATTAAGCAGAAACAAAACTGAATCTCTTTTTTCCTTGTATAAATAATAATAGCTCAAACACTTTTTTTCCAAAGTTGATTGCTCTATTCCTTCTCACAATTTTTTTTCTTCTTTTCTTTGTTTCACAAAGAGACACAACAAATGTAAATGTATAAGTCTTTGATTATCCTTCTTCTCAAAGGTTCATCTCACATGTTAAGAATAACCGCACTTAATGCTAATATAATTAGCATATTGAACTTTTTTCTTATTTATTTTATTTAAATTAATGTGAGTCCAAATAAATTGGTGATTCAGAAAAATAAAAAAACAAAAAAAAACTTTCCCGCTAGTTGATAGTATGAGTATGTATAATCGGGTTGGAGAAGGTGAGCTTGCACCATGTCTTAGTCCTTGATACTATTCTTTCTCTTCACTTCATGTTCTTCTTCACACCATAAAGATGACACTGTACATGCCATTGTTCAGGTCATGTTCCACCTTAAGATCCCTCACCCAACTCCACGCCCACATTGTCGTCACTGGCCTCCACCACGACCCTCTTCCCTCCACCAAGCTCCTCGACTCCTACGCCCAAATGGGTTCTCTCCACTCATCAAGACTCATTTTTTACGCCCACCCATCTCCCGATTCCTTCATGTTCGCTGTCCTCGTCAAGTCTTACCTCACCCACCACTTGTTCCACCAAGTTCTTTCCCTCTACAACCACCACATTCAAAAGGGTTCACACCTCACCCAAAACTGCACCTTTCTTTACCCTTCTCTCCTAAAAGCTGTTTCCTGCGTTGGGGACTTGGTTACTGGCGCGAAACTGCATGGGAGGATTGTTGCATCCGGGCTCACCACTGATCATGTCATTGCCACTTCGTTGTTGGGGATGTACGGGGATTTGGGCTGTTTGAGTGGTGCTCGGAAGGTGTTTGATGAAATGCGTGTGAGAGATTTGGTTTCGTGGAGTTCGGTTATCTCGTGTTATATCGAGAATGGGTGGCCCATGGCAGGATTGGAGATGTTGCGTTGGATGGTTTCTGAGGGAATTGGACCGGACTCGGTTACGATGGTCAGCGTGGCTGAGGCTTGTGGCAAGGTTGGTTGCTTGAGGCTGGCGAAATCGGTGCATGGATATGTGATCAGGAAAGAGATGGATGGTTATGCTAGTTTGAGGAATTGTCTTATTGTTATGTATAGTCAGTGTGGTTACTTGAGTGGAGCTAAAGGGGTGTTTGAAAGCTTGGCTGATCGAAGTACTGCTTGTTGGACTTCTATGATTTCGTCGTGTAATCAAAACGGGTGCTTTGAGGAAGCGATTCATGTTTTTAGGCAGATGCAGGAGTCGGAAGTGGAAGTCAATGGGGTGACGATGATTAGTGTTCTGTGTTGCTGTGCTAGGTTAGGCTTGTTGAAAGAGGGAAAGTCTGCTCATTGCTTTATTTTGAGGAGAGAAATGGATGGTGATGATCTTGATCTAGGGCCTGCACTGATGGATTTCTATGCTGCATGCTGGAAAATAAGCAGTTGCGAAAAGCTTCTTTGTTTAGTTGGAAATTGCAGTGTTGTATCATGGAACACGCTCATATCGATTTATGCGCAGGAGGGTTTCAGCGAGGAGGCCATGGTGCTCTTTGCACGTATGTTGGCAAAGGGGCTGATGCCAGACTCATTTAGCTTAGCAAGTTCTATCTCAGCTAGTGCAGGTGCCGGTTCAATACAATTTGGACAGCAGATACACGGCCATGTCATGAAAAGAGGCTTTGGGGACGAATTTGTTCAGAACTCCTTGATGGACATGTATTCAAAATGTGGCTTTGTGGATTTGGCTTATACAATTTTCGACAAGATTAGGGAGAAAAGCATTGTGACATGGAACTGTATGATTTGTGGATTTTCTCAAAACGGAATTTCAGTAGAAGCACTTAGGCTATTCGATGAGATGTACTTCAATTGTCTGGATATTAATGAGGTGACCTTCTTAAGTGCAATTCAAGCTTGCTCCAATTCAGGTTATCTTGAGAAGGGAAAATGGATTCACCATAAGCTTATTGTATCTGGTGTGCAGAAGGATCTTTACATTGATACAGCTCTGGTTGACATGTATGCCAAGTGTGGAGACCTTAAAACGGCTGAAGGTATTTTTGATAGCATGCCAGAGAAAAGTGTGGTGTCATGGAGTTCCATGATTGCTGCTTATGGCATACATGGCCAAATAACTGCTGCCACCACCCTCTTCACTAAAATGGTAGAGTCAGATATTAAACCGAATGAAGTAACCTTCATGAATATCTTATCTGCTTGCAGGCATGCCGGATCAGTGGAAGAAGGGAAGTTCTACTTTAACTCAATGCGGGATTATGGCGTAGTACCCAATGCCGAGCATTTTGCCTCTATAATTGACCTTCTAAGCCGTGCCGGTGATATCAATGGAGCATATGAGATAATTAAGTCAACATGTCTGCCTATAGATGCTAGCATATGGGGTGCTTTGCTTAATGGATGTAGAATACACGGGAGGATGGACTTGATCAAAGGCATCCAGAAAGAACTTAGAGAAATAAGAACAGATGATACAGGATACTACACTTTGTTATCTAACATATATGCTGAAGGAGGAAACTGGTATGAATCCAAAAATGTGAGATCAAGGATGGAAGGAATGGGCCTAAAGAAGGTCCCCGGGTACAGTTCAATTGAGATAGATAAGAAAACCTACAGATTTGGAGCTGGAGATACTTCTTCTGAATGTCAAATGAAAGAAATTTATACATTTTTAGAAAATTTTCAAAGTTTGGCACAGGAACAAGGATGTGATGTAGAATGTTATGGTAAAATGTATGGTACTAGTATGTATTTTGAGGATTATAATGTCTATAAATTGCAGAGAGAAACAAGCAATGGCATTTGGAGCAAATCAGACCCATTTTAGAACAATTATATTTTTAGAAAAATGATTAGAGATTATTCTGTTCTGCCATTACTGCAGTAAGGCCTTAAATACTCTAATTACAACTGTTAGCTTTTGTGACGTGATTCTCTCAAGGTTCTTATCACATTCAGATGATCATCAATCATCACAATTTGAAAGGCAGGAATTCCAGTAAAATATGCTCAATTATAAAGACAACCTCTCCCATCCCATTTCAGGAGGTAACTGATTTGGATAACACTATACACATTATATGTATGAGGCAGGGTTATGTAGTTAATCAGTATCTTCACTACTGTGATGAAGGCATGAAAATTGAAAACCTATAGTACAGAATATAACATGAGTGATCACAGAGAAAGGTAGTCATCATTGTGCACACGACACAAGGAACACTTTCCTGTCTTCAAGTTTCCTGCAAAGCCAATCAACTGATTTCTTGAATAAATTGTCAGAAGATTTTCAACCTCTAAATTCCCGACCCACATGAACAGTGCACATAGTCTCATCACATTGGTAATTTAAGCTTTGCCTCCATCTTCATCATTTGGTGGGTCAATGGGTATTTCATGCCTTGGTCTATTGTACTTCTCTCGTAGTTGTTTAATTGGGATGAAATCTCCAGCTGAATCCATTCCATAGAATAGAAAAGAGAGGTAGGGATGATCAAACCTTCCCTGAACACCAATAAACGCACAAATTAAACAATAGAAATAATAATATAGTTCATGTCTTTCAACTATAGATATATTTATGTTGGTTAAAGTAATATTAGACTCAATCTCCCAAGTACGGTCTTTAATTTAAGTCTTATGGATACAAAAAATGTGGTTGAAAGAAAAGATCTCACAAGGTGACTAACCTGGTAAGTTTCCAGGCAAAAAATAGTCATCGGCGAAATATGTAAATACTTTGTACCAATAACATGATTATTAAAAAAAAAAGAGTATAGATCTATCTACTCACAATGTCTGGTTTGTCAGGAATTACAAGATTCTCCTCTGGAACTGCAAAAATAAAAGAGCAAAATCAGTCCGCAAGTTAGTCATACAACAGAAACTATGCATATCAAAGCAGTTATCATATTTAGTGCACTGGTAAGTGAAATGTACGGATAAGCCATAGTATATATTTTATAACCGAGGAAGAGTGAATAATAAATACCACTAAATCTAATGCAAGTAAGCATATAAGCCTAAAGAATTAAGTAATCCAGTTTTTACCATATGCAACCAATAGATTTGGTTCAGCATGTACATCAACAAGAACCTAGACATTAGAAAAGTAAACAGATTAAATGGAGCAGTAGCACACTTCTTAACCAAAGCCAATTCAACCATTAATAAAATAAGATAAACCAATATGGCAATAGATCAACACACAAAAAATACATTTCTAATCACATTGTCTTGCATGCAAGTAATCATGAAAGTGATGTTTTATCCAAAATATCTTCTCATTATGAAGAGAAACAATTTAACCCCGCACATGGTGCTCCAACCACCTTGATGCCGCCTATCAAATGATAACAGAGACCATGAAAGACAACCTTATAATAACAGACACGTGACAAATTGTATTGCTTGATCTATTATTCTACAGGGTGAACTACTATACTTAATAAGAATTGAAGAGTACAAGATGAATCAGCCATTTAGCATTAGAAAGTCAAGAGAAATTAGTTAAAAATCAAATTTGATCCTGTAGAAACAGAGTAATTCATGCAAACGCAAATTGTATGCTAAAACCAAACCTGATAAAATGGTTGAGTGGAACCACGAGACAATTTGTTAACCTGTGCATTTTCCATCCATGAACTTGATTCACCGCATACTGGATCCATTCCACAGATCACGGCTTTATAGCCTGCAATGTATATTAAGCAATCAAAATGCAGGAAGTGGAAGGAAATCGTATCCTCCACAATTATGAGACATTCAACTTATCAATGCGTACATCCATTTGAAAGATTTACAAGGTATTGCCAATCATGTTCTTTTATCCTGCACTAGAGATATGTTAGATTTCCCGAGCCTACATGCTGGATAGGCAATTATAGCTCCACAATCATAGCTTTCTCTATTGAAAAGCTTCAGAGTACAACCAAGAAGCATCATAGTTATTGTTAGATCACATTGCATACTTTCAATGCAATTAATAATAATTTGTTGTATTCAACGGAAGATGTTTGAACCACTTACCAAATTTTTTATGTTTCACTTTCTGCCCCAATCGGAATGCATATTGTGCATTTTCATGTGCCAAAGCTTTAGCTGATGCAGCTAGAGACTCTGCTTCAAGTTTGGAAATTTTATCACGTAATTCAGCAGCCAAGGCATAATCCTCATTCTCAACAGCATTCTGGAGGTCTGAACTGCAAGGGAAACAGAAATAATCAGTGTCAATATACAAGTTGACCCACACATATATAGAAGGAAGAAAAAAAAGTTAATCATTAGGAACAAGTCAGCCTGACACATAGGAGGAAGAAAACTCACCGAAGACGTATAATACTTAGAGCTTTATCTTGAGCTTCACTTTTTGAAGATAATCCCCTTTTTGATTGTTGTTGCTTGATTACCTCTTCTTCAACCTTGCAAAAACAATATTTCATAGTTATGAGAATCTTACTATTCACGATTTGAATCTTATGATTCGATATAATTTAGCTCCTAACCAATTCTTATCGTAAGATAAATCTTAAATGACTTAGTATCTTATGTCATGAACAAATCTGTGCAATTAATTAATTCATCAAGTTGATGATAAAATACACGGACGTTCCAGTGGACATTATGCACTTGTTACGCAACAACCACTTAGAGGAAGGGCCAAACAGGGAGGACAACGGGTAGGCGAAATGGAGGTTTGGGCCTTGGAGGGATTTGGTGTTGCTCATATTTTACAAGAGATGCTTACTTATAAATCTGATCATATTAAAACTCGCCAAGAAGTACTTGGGACTACGATCATTGGAGGAACAATACCTAAACCTACAGATGCTCCAGAATCTTTTCGATTGCTCGTTCGAGAATTACGATCTTTAGTTATGGAACTGAATCATTTCCTTGTATGCGAGAAGAACTTCCGGATTCATAGGACTGAAAAATTAGATTCTGAAAGAATATTCTTTGAATACTGATTGATCAGTATAAACATCAACAACTCCGAATTGGAACAATTTCTCCTCAACAAATAAGTGCTTGGGCAAAAAAAATCCTACCGAATGGAGAGACAGTGGGGGAGGTAACAAAACCTTATACTTTTCATTACAAAACTAATAAACCCGAAAAAGATGGATTATTTTGTGAAAGAATTTTCGGACCTATAAAAAGTGGGATTTGTGCTTGTGGAAATTATCGAGTAATCAGAGATAAAAAGGACAACCCATAATTGATACTAATAAGAAAAAAACCATTATGGCAAGGAAAAGTGTGATTCAAAGGGAGAAGAAGAGACAAAAATTGGAACAAAAATATCATTTGATTCGTCGATCCTCAAAAAAAGAAATAAGCAAAGTTCCGTCGTTAATTGATAAATGGGAAATTCATGGAAAATTAGAATCACTACTGCGTAATAGTGCACCTATACGTTTACATCGACGTTGTTTTTCGACCGGAAGACCGAGAGCTAATTATCGAGACTTTGGATTATCTGGACACATACTTCGTGAAATGGTTCATGCAGGTTTCTTGCCGGGTGCAACAAGATCCAGTTGGTAAGGATTCCAAATTCTCTTCATTTTTTTATTCATTTTTATTATCAGCGATCATAGGTGGGTCCCTTTACCGTTCTGTATAAATGGTTTATCCTTATCGCCCGAGTATTGCATCGCCTTGACTTGGGCCGGGAACTCAAAAAGAAATTGACCTTGAGCCTGCTAATTAAAGTCAACCTTTGCCTTTTAAAACAGCTATTGCTTGTCTTTCTAAAGAATTATGAAGCCACTGCCTTATTTGCGCCAAGCGCGAGTTTGGTACGCCGGACTTGGGAGACTCCTGGAAGTCTCTGCCTCCTATTACGCCGGGCATAATAAGGATACACCAGACGTGTAAGAGCTTTAAAGTTCTCGGGTTGGGTTCCCGCCGGGCGCGAGTTTAATTGCGTCGGGCGTGGAAGTGTTTTACACTAGGACTTAGAAAATGTTGAATTTTGTATATGATGGGAAGATGTTGAGTTGAGCTGTGCTGTATGTTGATTATGTTGTTTAAGACGTTAAGTTAAGTTGTGCTGCATGTTGATTATGTTGTTAAAGATGTTAAGTTGAGCTGTGTTGTATGTTGACTATGTTGTGATGATGAGCTGTTGATCACTAGGACTAGAGGAGATGTTTTCGAAGTTGCTCATTCCATTGTGCGGATTGAGGAAGCTGTGGTGCTCAGGGAGCCCAATTTGTTGAAAACCCTCCTTGGGAAGTTGTCCCTTGGAGTGAACCCTGTACTGTTCTCCTCTAGGACTTAGTTGGTCCCGTGTGTGGGCAAGGTCGAGGTACATGTGTATAAAGCAACCACGGTATAGGGACCAGGTCAAGCTATACCGATTATAAGCGATCAATCAAGTAAAGTACGAAGTCGGGAACTTAGTTCCTAACTGAGTATCGAAGGGTTGTAGTATTTGGAGGATAGTCAGTAGGCTAATTCCATAGGTGGGTTAGTTAAGCTAGCTAATGTCGTGGTAGGCCTAAACCCCAGTTGTTCTATCCTGACATAGTACTATACTTCCTTGTTTAAGCGGCAAAATCTGAGAATTTGTTATCGTGTTGTGGATTGGCATCCAAATTTGTTGTTTACCTAGCAAGTCCAAAAAGGTTCTTTGCTGTCAGTTTGGTAGGACCTAGCCACTTAAACTGCTCACCCACGTTGTAGGAGATCTTCGAGTTGAAATGCGTGACAATGCATAAGATGTTGTTGTGTTGATTTGATGATTGATATGAGTTGTATATGTGCAGTGTGTTGTGTAGCTGTGATTGAGCTGTATGTTGTTATGTGTTGTATGTTAAATCTGCTGAGAATGATGATCTTGCTGTTAAGTCGAAAGCTGCTATAATTTAACTATATGTTGATTCGTTTTCACTAGCTTGCCCTTGCCTGTTTCCATGTGGGTTGGACTGCAATGATCATATTGTGTATGGGAGTAGCGCAGGGATGGGCTGGAGAGTAGTAACAGGGCTACAGGTAGTAGCAGGAGCTGACTTTTGGTGTGTGGGTTACTCGGTGTAGCAATTTTGTTATTATTAGATTCTGACTTGTTGAGCCCCAGGCTAGACATATGTATATATATTTACTCCTTTATATGCATACTCTACTTCTGTGTGGTGTTGTTTTGTTGTGTGACGACTAAGCGGGTCGTTGCACAGTTCAGTTCAATTATACAAAAAAATAGTTCAGTTCAAATCGTCTGAACTAATATTCAGTTTAGTTTAGTTTATGAGAACTACTTTTAAGTTCAATATAATTTTTATAAGTTCAGTTCAGTTCATTTTGCCCACCCCTATATATAGACTAAGATACACACCCAGATATACATGCTATTGCTTCAAGTTATAGAGGAACTAGATTCATGCACAGAATTCAAGGGTGAAAAAAAAACAGAAGATAATGAAATCAATGACAGACTGAAAAGTACAAAATCTACTTCAAGTAAGCCTAGTATACACAATCCACAAAACTTGGTATAGCCAAATAGGATACCAGAACAAGATAAGTAGCTGATTTATCTAACCTCAGTAAGCTTGTTTCTCAGCTGCTGTGCAATGTCATACTGCTCCATATTTAAAGCATACTGGCATTCAGAAGTTCCAAAAAAATGAAGCATCAGGTAATCATTGATAAATTTGAAATAAATAAGCCCTACACCACTTAACTTCTTACACAGAGTAAAAGTAGACAGACCTGTACTCTAGTGGCCAAGTCCAGCTGAAAGAAGAACATCAAGATATCCTCATTAGCACTTTCACTGTGCTCTGAACTTGCATCCGACCGTTGTTCTCCCCCTCTGAACATCCATGCTGCTTCAGCCTTAAAACCACTGTGCCTTGAAACATAAGGGTACCCAATTAAGAATAACCTCTGCACAGAATGGTTCCAAACCAATTGTTTGCCAGTGGCAGAGGTAATTTGGGATCTCTTAAATGGCTCAAAGGGTGCCATCCAAGATGGGGATGATCCACAGAGCCTGCTCTTTCCACAGGTTGCCAGAGTGCTCAATGAAACACCTTGCACCATTGTTTTGGGGCAAACCAAACACTGATTCCTCAGTACCCCACTCCAAAAAGGTCAAACAAAAACAAAAACTCACTCTTTTCTCAAGAGAATGTTCCTGCATTAGTGAAATTACATAAGGGCAAATTATGATGGTTCAAAACCATAATCTGCAAATTCAATAATTCATACCCCACAAAAAAAAGAAGAGAAAAAAATTTCATCTTTCCCT